TCTATAGAGACAGAGGAGGGGCAGAGGAGCAAAGGTGCCAGAAAAGAAACGCGATTGACAAATTTTACTCCCTGTTTTCTTTTGCATTGCTCCTATAGATTAATGATGTGACTCTAATAACGGGGTATAAATTAAAAGGTAAATTTCACTAACCACACAGTTGTACCTCCCCTGGTGTGAGAAATATAACAAGTAAAAACGGAGGAAGTTCTTATCGAATCGCGACAGCCATCCACAATATTTAAACTCGATAGAAGAATGATTTCCTTTTAAAATTGGAGTAAAGTTAATTTTATCTTCTATTGTGTTCTGCGAAAAAATATTCAGATTAATTATACGGCAAGAAAGGAATATTTTTTTAAATCGCGGTTCACAGTATTTTGATTTAATCAGTTATTGCGCACTGTTAATTAAAAAACATTCCACCGTGGTATTTGCCACGGCTTAATTAAACATCCCCCGTGCATAAACGTGCACGAATATTTTCTACGAATTTTATTCCTTCCCCCAGAGCGTTCGTGGAGTAAATTTTTTTAAAATGAATTACACTTCGTGGATATTTCCACGTTTTTAAACATCGTACTTCCATCCTAGTTACATATACACGCTAAACATTATTACGGAGCAGTTATCTATCGTTAGTGGATGAAGCGGTTACGAAGGAATTAGACTTCTCGTGAATTATATTCGCGGAATGTATGAATCGCTAAAGAGCTCGGCTAGTCGAACACGGGAAAATTCAACAAGTAGTCGCTGGCTTCGAGCAAGATTTGTTTCGATTCGCTGCAAAAAATTTCTCGTTCAGAATTATTTCTATTCGCGGGATCGTCGGGATTTAAATAAAATTCGATCAGGATAAGCGTGCTCTTTGGGTTACGGAAAAATTAATTGTACTATCCAACAAATTTTCCTGACTTTCTTTCTACGCTGCTTCGACCCATAGATCCACATCTATGATCCATCTACTTTTCTGAATGATACTTGAACTGTCATCCGTTCGAATTTCTATTCATCGAAGATCTAAGGCGTCGGAACGGTCTCAGCCGTAATATTTGCAAGAAAGTCCGGGTCGTTTCGATCGTATCTTTTAAGAAAATGTTCCTAGGCGCGATATAAAGAGTCCTTTCATTCGTTCGCCGCTACCGCGGATCGTTACGATGTAATTTTCGCGCGACGAACACTCGAGACTTCTCGGTCAGAGAAATCGCGACCGCGACATATTTCATCCTCCTCGTGAATATTCAAATTCTAGATTGCCCGTTAATAAATTAATCCGGCCGAGTGGTTCTTCGCTTCCTGCCCGAGACGATAATAAATTGGACTCGTTTATTTTCATCTGTAACTCTACGGGAGAATTGCACCGATACACGCCACCCCGGAATAGAATAACGATTATCCTTGGCGGGGTTCGAGCTTTCGCGTTTTCGACTTACAAAACGACCCGAGTTTCGGGGAAATCGTCGTCGTAGCGCGAAAAAGCTACGTTGTTTCAGATTTCGCGGGATCGATAGCCCTGCACGAACCGTTCCCTGCGTTTACCGTGTCTCGGGTCCTCGACCGAGTTGTTTCCAATATTTTAAGAATGGTCGGTGCAAGGATTTGCAATTTAGAATTTGTTAACCCGTGTGAAATTATTTTTAAGGCTGTTTGGAGTCGTTCGAAATGATCCTAGATGGCTATTTAGGAGCAGAGACTTCTGTTCGGTGGAACAATTAACGATTCTTTGGGTGTACATATTTTTATCTTCGTTTATTATTTAAAAATTTTGATTTTACCTACGCAGTCCACATATTTAAGGTTTCGATTCTCGTATACCGTGGACGTTTATCGAATAGGAATAAAAATTGGACTATTTCCAATCGCGTCGAATCTGAATTAATCGATAAACCGCGACACATGCGTAAGCACTTGACAGAGCACGACTGTCGATACGTCGATTCCAATTAGTTAATCGTCATTTCGTGGTCGAAAGTCCGGCAATGGACAAGCCGCGGATCTATCGATTAAAAATTCAAATTTGAAACATTTTTCAGAGCAATTCGACTCAAAAGCGTGAAAGTATAGAATTCAAGCTAGAAGTAGCCCCGGAAATCCTTGAAAAATTTTATTATTACATTTTTGTTTGTTGACAACGCGTGTATCGCTGATTGAAATTGATTTTTTCCTCGCAATATGTCGTAAGTATAAATTGCACGGAGCATAGCGATGCACCTTACAATAATTAATAAGTGCTTCTCTTATGACAGAGACTAAAGCACGGAATACGCAGCTGAATATTATACTGCGGAAAATAATACGTTGTAACGTTTCTTATTCTTTTTCTTTCAAGTCAAGGCGAACCTTGAAAATAACGTTGGACATTTTTGCGTCGTTGTCAATGATGCAATATTCATAAAATGTTTCTCCGTTAAACGTCCTGGGTGTCTTCCTTTTTCCCTTCGAGCTTGACGAATCGGCAAATATAATTAAATGTAATTAAATTCGAAGTCGCGATCGTGTTCGAACAAGGCAACGGGATTTAATAATATTGTCTCTTAACATTACAAATTTTGCTAATTATACTAACACTGGGACACACGTTTAATTATTCGGACAGCTGTCGTGAATAATTATTTTCTTTTCGCATCGTTTTGTACGTAATTTGGCAAAATGTTATCCCGAAGAATAAATTAAGAAAAAAGTAATCCATTTCTCTCCCGTCGAAGTTGAGAAACGTTAGAAATAAACGGTTAGGTTAAATAAAGTCGATCTTGTCTTTGAAATTATATCGCTCTTTTTCGTCGCGTTTTCTCTCCTCGAAGTCCTGATCGTCGCCTCGAGGAAAGTAAAATAGTTCTCCGCGTAGTTTGTCCCAGCCATTTTCGACCTAATCGAGTTCCGCGGTACGAAGAAAGCTATTGTTCGCTCCCAATGGCACTTTAATACTTATGGAACGTCAACGGGACACGCGTGCACGTCGCAAACATTTTCGAGAGAATTATTTCCCCGTTCTTCTCGAACGTCGCTAAAAATATTGTCCATCGAGCACGCCGCGTATGGAGATTTTGGCGAACTTTATCGAACTTGCGGGAAATTTAGTATTTTTCGTTCTCCATCGTGGCAGCGATATAAATTGTGGCCGATACACGATGAACCAGACCTGCACGCGGCAATGAAGAATAACCTTTTGGTTGATCTACGGTTTCCCGGACTGGAAATCGGGAAATGCTTGTTGATATCGTCGCGGTAACTGATATTTGCAAAGAGTTATCGACGGACCTCAAACTTCCGTATTTCTTTCCCGCGAAAACGATATTGATTTCGTTTCGCGGAAGTATCGACGCAAATTTACTTGGAAGGAGACCATTTGCACGGTTCAAATCGCCTTCGCAATTTATCTCCGTGGTCGGTAATTGTTTTACATTTTCCAAGTATATTTCGATCGTGCAAGTTCGATCGACCCGAACGACAGATATAATATAAAAATCGAACTGGTTCGAGGTCCCGTAGACGCGTGAATATTTCATCGAGGTTGATAGCAAGTTCATTACTAAATAGTCTGCTGTATCAGATAGACGGGTCGATGGAGGGTGAAAGAACGCAATCGACGAAAGTTTCATCGTGCCCGATGACATTGTCGTGCAGACAAGCAAAAGGGACTAGCGATCGGTGAATGGGAAAAGGTCAACAACCGTGCTTCAGCGAGTTTCATTCTGAAAAAGTTCATCTGCACCGATTACTCCGTTGAATTAACACGCGAATAATCGGTTCGATGCTTGAAATATGGCCCACAGGAAATTTGTGAATTTAAACAGCGATTGAAATAACAGTCTTAAAATAACCGCGATGCTTCTCTTGCGTTGAGAAAGTAAATAACGTCGATGATGAATTTTTATCGAATTTTTCGTACGTCGTTTTAACCACCCGGGAAGATAACAGAGTCGTTGTTTAGTCTATAAATTTAACGTGGCAATTCAATAACGTGCAAATTGAATGTAGTTGCTTTTCATGGGAAATAGCTTTAATGGTGTCTACTATTAGTGCTTCTACCTTAATAGCTTCGAAGGATTTTGGGGGTAGCAGAGGGGGGGGGGGATGATAAGATAGGGCAGGGTTTACGAAGTTTCATAGAGTACATGGAGACTAGGATGAAGTAGGATTTGTAGGGCACGGATGACATAGTGTTTACAGGAACGAGTGCTCACGACTGAGAATTCAAGCGTAGATTAGACGGGCGGCACATTATACTTTGAGAAATTACTTGTTTCGATCAATTGATCGTTTAGACATTACATCGATACGTGCTACTCTTGGCAAACTACGTTCTTGAAATGTTTCGAGTAGTTCTATGAACACCAAAGGCGAGAAAATGTAAACTTATTTTCACAAATGGACTATTATGCAGACTCGATAATTTAGGGATGAAAGGGTGTTGAATTGTTCGAGCACCTAACTACACTCTTGAAATGTTTCTGGTAGATTTATGAACACCAAAGACAGGAGATAGTTTTCATCTCGTGCAAGAATAAAAATGTAAACTGATTTCCATAAATTGACGCAGACTCGATAATTCGCACCTAACCCTATCATTATAGATAACTTCCTCGGTAACGCACGAAGGAGCAATGCAAATGAATCTGCCGGGTTCGGGTCGCGAGATTCGAATGTTTGAATTGCTAACTGCGCGTGCCTAAAGCGGATCCGCGTCCATATTGGTCTCAGAACATTACTGCTCGCGAGTAATTCATATTCGAATTTCGACTCGCGGGCATCCTCCACGCGTAAAGCTAAAAAAATCGACGCCTCTTCGATGTGTTCTGCCCTTTGCTTCCAGTTTCCCCCCCCGTTAACCGATATTTCTCGCCCAGAAATTCTCCGGCTGTTCGAATCGCCTGCACGCGAGAGCTAAGAGCGCTCTTGAAAGATTAACGAAAAAACATAAAAGCCAAGGTTCTGCCTCAGAAACGGAAGAGGGGGGAAACTGGAGGGAACTGTTTCGAGATCAGCGGTCTCCTTGAGCGATGATCGGCTCGTCGATGCCGACGATCGATCGCACGGATCCTTACGAGGCCGTCGTCGACACCTGTTTCGAGGAGCTTTTGTTTCTCGGCGTGGGGAACGACACGGGCGCGGGCTGCGACACGGCTGGACGACTGACGGTGTCGGGGATACTGAACGACAGCGATTACGAGGGCAAGACGACGAATGGGACGCAGCTGAACATCGGGAACGACGGGCTGAACAACTGGTGGGCGATGCTGGCCCTGGTGCTCGTTCTGGGCACCGCCGCTGGGAACATCTTGGTCTGCCTCGCCATCGCCAGGGAGAGACGATTGCAGAACGTCACCAATTACTTCCTGATGAGCTTGGCCATCACGGACCTTATGGTCGCCGTTCTGGTCATGCCTCTGGGAATACTGACCCTCGTCAGAGGTGAGTTTCACCCTAAACTCGCGCCTCCACCCTCTGTCATACATTTTCTTTCGCTCGCGAACTCATCGTCGAGACAAACAATCTGGTATCGAGAGCTTCTTCGTTCTCCCAAACGGTTGGTGTAATGAATTTGTTGCATCCTGTTTGAAAACTCCAAGGTCTTGGTGAATCGAATTTTAAAGGAACTGGTGCAAGTTCGGTAGTCCATTTTTGCGGGAACGTCGATTGGAATTTCTTTCGGTGGATAAACTGAACGTAAAAAGTTCAGATTTCCAACAACAATTTTAATTAACGGTAGAACGTAGACTGAGATCCGATGGGAACTCTGACGACGATAAACTGACCACAGTGGGTCAGTTGCCTCGAAAATGGGGTAATAGGGTAACACATATATTTAACTGGACGTATTAGTCATGATTTGTTAACTTTGGAAACGACTATTCGGTTCTGAAGTGGTCAATCTCAAAATCTAAATTCGTCGTCTATAATTGTGATGAAATCAATTTTACCTAGTACGTATGTACTTGAATTGTACCAAATTACATTTTATGAATTATACCTGATTGAACGTCTTGAATTTTTATTCCATTTTTTAACTATGACTGCAGCGAGTCATTGGAGTATACGCGCGCGATATTGAAAATTTAAAAAGTTTGAGTCACAGAGTTTAGCAACAAACGGGCCAAAATTCGACGTGCTCGCTCGTTCCTCGGTTCTGTCCTACTTCTAATAAACCTGTATGCGCTCGCAACATTAAACCCGATTCGCAGGGTCCCGAGTAGACGTCGCGACGCTCGCAATGTTCCCTCGAGGCGCGAATTTCGTGACGGAAGTCACTCAATCGGGTCGAGACGTCTGCCAGGATTTATCTGTAATTTGTCGCGAGGAACAGCGCGATTCTCGATGAACGCTCGCAGCTTGCTCTTCGAGCGAGGAATTACAGCCGCGTCTTAACGTCTTTGAGCGATTTATTCGGTCGTAACGCGAAATCTTTGTCGGCCCGTCGAGGAAAGAAGAAACTGTCAGACGGAAACGCTAGTCTTTCAGTTCGTTGTTTGAAATTTACATCTAAATAAAAATTCTATCACATATAGAATTATTCTATCTGTTATATAGAGTTTGACGTTTAATTATTCAAAATATACTTCCTCTTTTTTTTAAATTGAACTGAATCGATATAATCACATCGCTCGCGCTTAGAATATTATTCCAAGTTCGAATACCTTGTACAATGATCGAGTATTAAATTATTCGAATAACGTGTCGACTCTACCTTTTACTTGTAGGATCGTCCTCTCGCTTCGATGCAATCTTCGTCCGTCTTCGTCAAAACCTATTTGCTTCCATAGTTGAGACAACGTGAGCCTGCGAGTTTGCGCTTTCTATCTCTAAAACAAACAATGGATTAGAGCGAGGCGGCGAGATATACAGAAAGCGGCCGTGTATCCAAACGGAATAGTAAGGTTAATCTATGTAGACCTACCCCATCGATGTCCTTGAGTAGTCGGTACAATTCGATTTCGATATTGCACGGAAATCGTAGAATTAATGTTTAAAGTATCTATTTAGAATCGAACATTATTATTAAATGTTTTTAATGTGTATACAAGATTGTAACCTGAATAATTTATTTTGGTGATAGATAAAAATGCTTGAACCACTATTTTAAAAAGGTCTAAAGAAATTGATTGATACATAAACAACCGCATGGTTCCGTGAAAAACACGAGAAAAAGGTGCAGCTAAAATTGCAGTTACGAATTGCAGTATGTAGATAGGGCGAGAAGAATCGTTTGATCTCAAAGGCGCCGATATTTCTGCTCCCTGGTATATTTTTCATCTTCCGATCAAAATACTCGGCCTTTCCCTGAATGCTTCGCCTTAACGGAAAGAGTTATATTTAACAGCCACTGATCGCATTTTAACCTTCGAATTGATCTGTTGCATCCTTCAAATTGAACTATTCCACATAATCTCGAATCTATTAGCTTTTAGTCTGACATAAAAATCGAATAGTCTTGAAATCTGTAAAATCTCAATAGATCGTGGATATATTTCAATAAGATATAGCAATTAACCCTCTGTAAGCAATTTAAAAAGTAATATTTCTTCGATCAATTTTACTCGATGTTTTTTTTATTCTGTCTTCGAGTACACTGTGCGATAGAAGGTTAGCGTTATTGTTATTCGGTCCAACTGGCCACGTAACGTTAATTCGCTGAAGTTTTCAATTTCCGCATCGTCGCTTTTTACCCTCCTCGTCCAAGTTTATTTCCACCTCGCCAGTCACGATTAGTAATTGCGCTCGAAACTCGAGTACCTCGAGATTCATTAAGGAATCGAGCAACGAATTTTCTAATATCACTATGACTCTAAAATTCTCTGATCTCGAGAAAACGAAATATCTCTTGGAGAGAACGCAATCGCCATACGAGATTCTATGTAGTTACGGTCAGATATACTAGACGCAATTTGCTCTTATCGAGGTGGCTGCAATTTTTGAAACGAAGCAAATTTCTGATTCGATCCGCCCTGCATCTCAGATTTGGCCAGCGGCAAGCTTATCCGCGATTCCATTCGTGAATTGTAATTTTTAAAACGCCGCATTGGATAATTGAACAGACACGAATTTAAGAAAATGAAAATTCTGTACATTTCTTCTTATATTCTTTAAATTCTGCTACGAAGAAGAAAAATAAAAATAATTCGTCGACCGATATTGCATCGAAACGGTAATAACGATAATTTATTCCCTGTCCAACGTTGACTTCGTATCAATTTTTAATTAATCAAGGCATCTGGCGTTACAGCGCACGATACGGTGCAGTACATCAAATTGATGCATACGCAGTTTAGTTATAAACGAGATTTAGACGGCAGTGGCACAAGTCCAAGTTTATCTATTCTGAGGTCTTAGACGTTCTGGAATCTATACGACCTTTATACTGCTCCCTCCAACTGAACTCTGTTTCCTCGCGTCGTCTTTCATCGTCTGCTTATAGCAGAGTTGCACGAACAGCATGGATTTTTCAATAGGATCAAACGCAAGCTGTTCGATTTCTCTGTTTACTCGCGTGAACGTTCACCACTTGCTACCACGATGCTCGAGTATAAAGATTCAAGAAACGTTTCTCGGTACGATAGCTAAGATTTATTTCTATCCTTCTGAAAATTCCCGACGTGTTCGACATTGTTACGAACGCGCGTGCACTACGTTCGACAAATATATCTGGAACTGCCATAAGTTACGTCACGAATATCTGCTTATTTTTCTGCTACCAGTAGAACAACCGCATCTAATTTCTAGATTTAAGGGTAATCGATACTTCGCCAGAGAAACCATTTATGTTTTCGTGTACTTCTGCCATAAATTCCGTTACGAGCAGAATTCAAATTAAGGGGCGGAAACTACGGTTCTTAATTTCGCTACGATAGTTCGTTTCGATAACGAAACTCTAAATATCGGGCTACGATTTCGAGCAATCTCTATGTCGACGGTTATTAAATGATCGTCAATTAGCGATCGCCACGAAACTTTCAATCTGCTTTGTAAAATTGTCAAACGCTCATCGAATCGACGTGACAGATATTTCGACGCATTCCATGATCGATACCGTCCCTATCCTTCATTCTGACATTTATTTGTAATGATTTATAGCGTTTCGGTGCGATATTGACACCGATCATCATGTTACGAATTTTCGAAATTTTATTTTGTTACGAAATTTCTCATTGTTACAATTTCATTAAAATAGTTTTCATCGCTCTTTTCCGGGTGAACAAATCTTTATTCGAGTGTAATTTTATGTATCACCGAGAAACGTTGCGAATAACGATTAACTGTCTCCAAAAATAAATGTTTCAAATTAATCGAATAACGGTGAATTCTGGTAACCGATAGTCGTCGTTATCGTAACCGATAGATTTTCTTATTTTCCGCTGTTCGGAGTAATTGCGGGGATTGTTCCAATTTTGGCTGTCACGCCGCGCAACGAACTGCACTTTAAACAACACGCGAAAGGAAACACTGATTGTCTTCGTTCGAAGGAAGTGCTCTTGTCAATGGCCAAGCGCCACGGACTCGCGTTTTCGGGGGCGGGAAAGAGTGCGAGAGAGAGAAATCTGAGACGAATGGCGCATCCGTCGACCTCGCAGAAATTGCTGAGATGCCAGCAGACGTTCGGAAAAGTAATGTCGGCGAAATTGTCGGAAACGTAAGTGGCCAATTTGTAGCACCCTCGATTCCACGGAGTCGCCATTTTTCACCCACTTTCCAAGTTGTTCCAACTGAATGTTTTAACAATGCTGGATGGCCCCATCTTCGGACCCATCGAACTTCATACTGCATCGACCGTGAAACGCAAATCGATATCCCACGAATTACACAATCAAAAAGTTGGAGGGAAAATATTTTTGTTTGAAACTTTTAACAAAAAATAACGTACAGTGTTTCCCATCCTTCTTCCAAGTTGCAGTCATTCTTTCGGCTCTTTCAGTATTCGGAGTTTTGTTGAATGTCGCGCTATTTTATCGCGAATACGAACAACCATTCGCGGTTTCGAGATTCTACGTTCGCGTAACCGTATTATCGTCGAGAGATAGGCGACAGATGTGACGATTTTCACCGAAACGTTCTCAAAGCGGTTTTCCACGAACGTCACCAGCACGCACAGCTTTTGATCAAAAAGTGAATTCATATTCCGAATTAAGATAAACGAAACGGAAAAACCACGTTTCCCTTGCTTCGAATAGAATACTCTCGGTTGTGATTTCTCCTTTGTTTCTCTATGTAAACTACCTATGTTCTCTACATAAACGTGATAAAAATGCATTGTTTAAAATTTTCTTAAGCCTACAAGCTGTTTTAACAGTTAACATGTTTGTTATTTTAATAGACGTTTCAGAGAATGTGTTACAATGTGGTATTTAAATATATTTTAAAGTCAAGTCACTTTCTAAAATTTTTCAAAAATTCCAGTAGTTTGTTACGTTTCTAGCCAG